TCACCTGTGACAAGTCTTTGATACATGGCAGCGAATGCCTTAGTATAGAGGCTGGTTTGGGTTGAGCCCCCTGCGGGCAAACACGTAGGCATCAGTTTAGGAACGCTTTCGGATAGCCGTACCGCATCAACTGGCGAGCGAAAAGCCTGCTTCCTATGCACACACCTGGAATGCGAACATTCGCCTCAATTTGTAAACAAAGGGTTCTTTTACTCTTACTTTCCCATCCTTCTCCTCGCTCCGGCTCTCACGAAAAGATGCACACAAAACCTTCCTGTACGTAACTAACTGAGGAAAAAGCGCACCAAAACAAGCATACTGTGGAACAGCCGTTTCAGCGAGAGTTTGGTCTGTTTAAAATTGTCAGTGCTTAATTCAGAACATCGGCAAGCATTTCACGTGACTCAACGACCTACTCGGCTTTGAGCTGATCATTTTTTCGCTGCCTCGGCCTTCTAGTGGACTTGACGGCAGCTTGCATTGAATCATCACGTGTCCCAGTGAACTGTTTCTCTTCACCAAATTATCACCCCAAAAATCTCACCTTTGCAGATCTGAGAGTGATTATCTCCCATCTGAAGATTGGTCGAAGATAGCAGTACACAAACCTGATGACGAGGTGCGAAAACGATCGTTGATTTGTTTTTCAGAAAAAATGATATAGCGAACGGTGTCGTATGAAACAATAAGCGTTTAGTCATTAGGCCGGAAAATAAATTGCAGCATACTGAGTCGATACCACGGACTGGGGATAACGGAATTGAAGTCAGCCAATCAACCGTAGAGTCAGAAGGCCGGAGGCACGAAGCTAACACCAGCTGACCACTAAGTCGGACGTTCTACCACCTGAATTTTGCGGGTCCGCGCTCTGCTGACTTCAGCAGGCAAATAGTCAACACCATGTGAGAGCGACATTCCCCTATATAGTCCGGATGTGGAACAGGATACGAGCGTTGTAATTTATACTAGAGACTACGGCGGTGGTCGCATAGGAAAAAGAAGTCAATCATGCAGAAATGCCAAGTAATAAAGCGTCCGGTTCCAGAACCAACGGATTCTGGGTCAGAATATTGGGTCTTCTAGACCGAGGATTGGGATATAACTGAGTGGTAAAGGCAGAGGGGTCAGAAATACTCACCCCTCTAGATAATATTTATCATCAAAAACATAGCTGTGTCCGTATTCTTTTCCAAAGAGTTGAAACACATTGCAACACACCATCTGAAAGAAGACTGGAAATTCAATACCTTCATGACCCCTTCCGAGCTAATAGATACTCAAGCTTTTTCAGCAAACAAAGCAAGCACCGAGTGAACAGAAGACGGCCAAAAGAACAGCAAACCGAGGTCTGGAAGGCCGCTCCCTACATAATATGAGTCTTCGAAGTAGTCTCTTGACTGCTACAACTCATAGAAATAGGCATAGCTCATCGACCTCAGGCGACAATACGCCACCGTGTGATGCAACTTAAGGACGAACTGCCCGCTTCTGAAATCGTCGCAATTGTCTACCAAATATTTTGCAACGATAGGGACTACAATTACGTTGGACAAACAGGGCGAAAATTTCAGAACCGCCTACAAGAACACAAACTAGCGGTCCGGAGACTTGAACCAAACTCGCAGCTCGTAACTAATGCTGCAGAGACTGGCCAAACCTTCGATATTCAGTGAGCGGTCATATTAGGGCGAGGCACCTCAAAAGTGGGACGACTGATGCTTGCGGCATAGCATTCAGATGCCAAGAGCGTCGACAGGCAGCTAGATTGTCCTGTGGCTTATAAAGTCCTGCGCCATTACGTGAATAAAGGCCAGGATAAGGCTACACAGAACCTAAGAAATGCGAGCGAAGAGGGGCCGCGACAGGAAGAGGAGGCAGGACGAAGCGCAACACCAGCGACCGTCAAACTACGCAAACATTCTCATAAGAGAAAAAACTCGATCAGCCCAAGACCGAAAAGTTCAACCAGACATACAAATCGCTGATTTATAGTGACAGTCAACGCTTTGACAATGGAGAGCCGGGCAAGCTCTCTGAAACACCAGCAACAAACAAAAACATTTTCGGTGAAAAGTATCATGTAATGAAGCAAACAGGAAGCGATGAATGTGGATTCTACAATATCAACTATTCGCCATCACAACCTGCGGTTCAACGGTACAGCGCGCTGGACGTAGAAACACTCAATGGCTAGGTAATCCGCATCGTTTAAACCCGGTATTGGATATGGCTAGCGAAATGGCCACCCCATCCCATCCCACCCCCATACCTTTGTCAGTATTAATATGGGGTTTTGACAGATTTGAATAATTCGTCTGACCTAGTAGTCATCTGATTGTTTCGGAAATCCCATTTGGAAAGTCACTTTACTGCATTAAAATTGGTTGATTCCGCAAATTACAGTAGGCCGGGTGGGTAAAGTGACCCAAGTGTGATTAAACTCCCGGCTGCTGGTGAGGTCTGGCAGTTCGGGTATTTACGGACAAGCCAACCAACACAGCGATCCCATTCATCTGACACTACAGACTGTAGAGTACAAAAGCTCAACAGAGAAGCAGACTGATAAAACCGGCGTAATCGAGATCAGTCAGCCAGCTAGCGTCTGGGTGAAGGCTCAACACTGTCCTCTTCATGTAGGGCCTTCCTGAGAGTCCAGCCAGTGGCGTGGTTAAACAGAATAGGCGACAGGACGCAGCCTTGCCCAGTACAGTTAGGAACAAGAAATAAGT